GAGAGGATGTTAATGGGGGTTTCAACTGGGGAAGCCAGCAGCTGGGGGCAGGGCAGGTGTTAGCCACCCATGTCTCTGTGCTGCATGCTGACCAGCATGAAGGGTTCAATCAGTGGTTCCACTGGGTGTCCCCAAGGGTCCTGTTTGCAAGCCTCAAGAGGAGCAAGAGCCACAGGCCATTCGCTGTACTTGTATTCCTGGCCCATATCTCAGCACACACCTCTAAATCAATATTTAATCTACAATACACTCTCACCTTCATTCTTGACCTGATTTGGGGCCTTATTGCGCCCCAAGGCTCAATAAAACAGTTCCTTTTTGATGTGGCTTATATACGAACTCCAGTGAGTTGGCAGTGGGTGGGTGCTGGTGAGGTCCAGCTGAGCTCCGCTTTATAAGACCTGTTTACAAAGGACGCTGGGTCTATAACATAGCCTCGGGCTTTCAGAAACAAGTAGCAGTGTGATGTCTGGAGAGGTGTGTTTGCCTCTGCTGGAGGGCTGTCACTGAAGGCCTGCGGGAACAGGCCTGCCTCTTCTTGGCTGAGGTTAAGCAGTATCACCTTATGGTAACTGCTCTTTGAAGAGCAGCAGGAGAGGAGGCAGCAGGATGGTCTTGCAACAGGCTTCCTGTCTCCACTGATAGAGCGGGGCCTTGTGAGCAGGGTCTTTAGTTGCCGGCCCACTGGGCATGTCATCAGAGATGTCTATGTGACGTGTGTGTGTGAGAGTTCCCTGTGCATTGACACACAATACGCTGTGGCACTGAGCCAGGCCTCGTATCACTCACTCTGCACATGCTTGGTTCTCCAGCAGACAGAAAGTGGTGCTGGGTAGCACGCCCATCCTCAGGTCTCCAGAGCCCAGCTTTACCCCATCTCTTCCAACCCAATGCTGGGTAGTGGCTAGCCTGTCTCAGATCTATCTAAATTGAACTCAAAAATTCTCAGCTGTTTGTCTGCTCATAAAACGATTCTCCAAATGAATACTGAGACGCAGCTCACTTGGTAGAGGACTTGCCTGGCAAGCATGAAGTTCTAGGTTCTGTCCCCAGCATCAAATAAATCAGGCATGGTGATACACACCTACAATCCTGACACTTGGGAGGTGGAGACATAAAGATCAAAAGTTCAAGGTCATCCTTGACTGCATAGCAAATTTGTGGCCAGCCTGGGTTTGTGAAAACTCATCTCAAAAATAATGAATTGGTTCGTTAATTAATTTTTTAAATAGGTTCATAAGACACGCCTAGGTCTACTTCTTCTCTCAAATGCATGAGATGGCTTGAGGTTCAAATTCAACTGATTCTTTTTAAAGGATAACAAGATTTACCTAAGCACATATATACATACATACATATATACACACACATGCATAAATACACATATGTACATTCTCTCACACATGTATAAATACACACATATGTAATTACATTTCAATACACACACACACACACACACACACAGAGGCAGAAAAGGAGGGAATGAGCATGGAGAAGCCAGTGAGGAAAATTGGGAGGGCAGACACAGGAGAGGAGGGACGCTTTAGAGGGACACTGTAGAGGAATGCCAGGCGGATGGAAGGAATTCTGGAAGGCGTTTGCCTTCCTTGGCCCTGTGACTCTTCCTGGGGTCTGTTGACCCCATATAGGACACTGAGGAGAGACCAAAGCAATGACCCCACCCAATTCTTGCATAGCCAGCCAGTGAGTTCATTAGGGTTCCTTACAGGACATGGGTGAGTCAAAGGCATTGCATCACCCAAAGTCCAGCCCAGTGTGGGTGACACCTCAGGAAATCTGCACACACACACACACACACACACACACACACACACACACACACACCCAGAGAGAGCTCCCTGCATGCCTTGCAGGCAGCCTGGCAGGTAGGAGAGCCTCCTCTCTCTTCCCAGCAATTGCTTGTTTCTATGGCATTGGGAAGGGACTTTGGGGATCTTGTATGTGTCACGAGTTTCCTGAGACTTGTGAATTTTGTGTATCTCCTGAGTCTTCATGAGCCTCCCTCCAGGAGCACAGGTTTCAGTCTGGAGGTAAAAGCTACACAGCACCCACATGTAATATTCAGGCCTGATAGGTTTTGGTAGCTTTTCCAAGGTACTCACTGGTGAGCTGACCAGAGCACCTGACTCAGTTCCCTCTCCTGTACCACACCTGCCTCTGGGAACCACTGAGGCACATCTGTGTGACTGAGGAGGCTAGGGGCCTATGAGCTTGACTGCCTGCCACTATCACAAACTCTGTGCTGTGTGGAGAGCATGCTCTTGTCACTCCCCAGGGGTGCCCTATGATTCACAAGGTCTTTGGAATAACAGTTCCTTCCAGGAGGCAATAAACTATATAAACATGCAGAGCCTCTTAAGGCCTCAGGGTCCTGCGCCCTGAAGCCTCTCAACACCCTTCCACCTGAAGCCTCATGACTACCAGCTAAGAATTCCTGACCAGGACCACTGGGGCTCTCTGGCTTATGAGTGGATAAATCCTTGGAGGTTGTCTGTTTTCCAGGGTTCTTTTTCTTGCTGTGTCTGAAGTGTGTGCATTGAAGGAAATTGCAAGCAATAAACACCCTAGGACCTCAACGGAGGGACCCATCAGATCATTCTGGAAGGGCCAGTTCAGGTGAAGTTCACTTAGATAAACCTCTTACTTATGTCTGGAGTGATAAAAGGTACCATGGTGTCATGTGACACACTGACAGATAGCACCAGGCAGGCCCTGTGTCCCCATGAGCACAGATTTTTCTCCATGCCAGTATTTGTGGAAATGGCTTTTAGATGTCCTGGGTGGGAAAGGCCCTTTCCCAGTGACACTTCAGCTTCTAGGAAGGATGATACTTCCAGCAGAGATGGAGTAGGATCCCAGCCTCCTTGTCTCTTGGAGCTCTGAAAAAGACAGGGACACTGACCAATTCCTGTGTCCATCTGGTGTTGCCATTGACATAAACCCAAGGCAAAGCTCTAGATTACACTGTAACCCTAATATTTGGGTTTTTGCATTTGAATCTTCAAACTGCCTTCTAAAGAACCATTTTGGTCTATATACCAGGCTTGGGGGCTTGCGGTTTGCTTAGTTGGTATGGGGCTTGCCTAGCACATACACAAATGCACACCCCCCATGTGGTAGTATGGTGCACATGCACTCTTAGCACTCAGGAGGTAGAGGCAAGGCAGAAACGTTCAAGGACATCCTCAGCTACATAGGGAATCTGAGGCCATCCTGGGCTACATGAGATCCTGTATGGAAAAAAAGAAAACAAACATATTTGCAAATGAGTGCTGCAGCATTCAGGTGGATGCTATTGCCTAGCAACCCTATGTGTTCCTAAACGGTACTCACTGGTCTCTCTAAGAGCCTCATCCACACTTCTGTTTCAGACAACCTCTAGTTAACGGCCCAGAGCAGAAGTCAGTGCTCTGGGAAACAAGCATCAGGGCTGAGCCCTGTTGACCACTGTTCCCTCTGAAGGTCAGAGCCATACAGTCTGGAGAAAAAGCCACTTGCAGAATAGTGAGCTGGAGCCTCCAGAGGATGCTGTGCCCAGTGGGATGATGAATTAACCGGGGAAATAATCGAGTCTTTGGAAACAGTACTCAGGGAAGACAGTGAGGAGAGATTTGTAAAAGATCCACTGGGGTTGGGAAGCCAGCTCAGTCAGTAAAGCAAGACCCTGCTGAGCAAATTCAGGACTCTGAGTTTGATCCCAGAACCCTAGTAAACGCTGGTATGGTGGCAAGGGCTTATAAACCAGCACTGGGGAGGTGAGGACAAGTGGATTCCTGGAGCTCACTGGCTGGAGAGTCTAACCAAATCAACGAGCTTCAGGCTAGTGAGAGACCATCTCGAAAATAAAGCGGAGTCTGGAGAGATGGGTTAGTGGTTGAAGAGTTCACTGAGCAAGAATGGAGACCAGAGTTAAGATTTCCAGAACTCACAAAAGCCATGTATGGTGGGGGCATAATTTGAGTGTTCAGATGTGGGGCAAGACAAGAGGATCTTGGATGCAGCCTGGCTGTGGCTGAAGCCAAATCAGCAAACCCCAGGTTCAGAGAGAGACCTTGTCTCAAAAACTAAAGTAGAGAGAGACAGAGGTGGGAGAAGACATCCATCATTAACACCAGACCTACACACACACACACACACACACACACACACATGCACACACACATACATGCATGCATGCAATGCCCCCCAGAAATTTTTAATAAATAAGCCAGTTTTCAAAATTCCTCATACCTAGTTGGTTCCCTGGTAGTGCAGGATTTTTTCATCTTGCTGGTACCTCCCCAAGTCCTGAGCCTACCCCTGCTACAGCTCACCAAGCATTCATAGTCAACCTGATGCAGTACTCTGTCACCTCCTGTCCTTTCTGTGGTTCCCTGGGAAACTAGCACACCAAGACTTTACATCACAGGCAACAAGAAAGAGAGAGGGAGGGAGAGAGGGAGGAAGGGAAGGAGGGAGGGAGGGAGGGAGGGAGGGAGGGAGGGAGGGAGGGAGGGAGGGAGGGAGGGAGGGAGGGAGGGAGAAGTTTTTTCTGACCCACAGTTCAAAGATGTAGTCCATCATGGCAGTGAAGTCTTGACAGCAGGAGCAGGAGGCAGCTGGTCACAGGGCATCCATAGTCAGGAAGCAGACAGAGAAAGTGGTGCTCAGCTCACTTTCTCCTTTGTATTCAGTCCAGGACTCCTTGGAATACACTTGCCCATGTTTAGGCTATGTCTTCTGTCTCACTTAATCTAAGCCACACAATCCCCCAAAGACATGCCCAGATACTTGTTGCTATGATGATTCTAATTCTCACAGATCTGACCATCAAGATCACCTATTACAGACTCCTACCTGGTCCCCTTGTGAGCACCATCCTTAGCCACAGACCCCTCTCTGTATATCATGCCCATCTTCAGCTCATGGGTGGAGATAGGAGGTCATTTTAAGTCACTCTTCCCCCATCCTGACAAAATGCCTAACATAAGCAGCTCACTGAAGGACAGGTTTATTGTGACTCAATGAGGGTACATCCTTCATGGTGGTGCAGACATGATAGCATTCACAGACAGAGGCATTCAGCTGGGAATCTTCACATCTCCATGGACCAGGAAACAGAGAACTGTGATGAGAAGTGGAGTCAGCCTCAAACTCTCGAGTTCTTCCTCTATGATGCCCCCCCATCCATTTACCAACTGGGCTTCATATCCTATCCAAAAGGTTCTAAACCCCCAAAACAGTGCCACCAGCCAAGACCAAGCACAAGAGCCTGTGGGGACATTTTGTATTTGATCCCTAAGTAAAATTTTGAAGGCATTTTATAAATGAAATGGCATTTGGCATTTGGAATCCAAGACTGTCTGAAGACTTCATAGAGCAGATAACCACACAGAGTCCTGCCCTTGCCTGTCCCCATCAGCTTGTCTTCCAGTCCTAGTTTAGAGAGCTTTGCCTCCTAAGCCTAAGGCCCGTAGAGAACAGCTGGAGAGTATATCTTAAACACAGGAGCCCCGCTTGGAAGCTGTGGAGGCTAAAAAGTGTTTTTAGGAGGATGGGATGTCCAATGGGGAGCCAGGAGTCAACTGCAGACTCAGTAAAATCCCCTTCAGCCTGTTTCCTTTAGTGATCTTTTCCATGACAACACAAAGAGCAGAAAATAATTTTACCTAATTTAAGAAAACACAAACTAAGTGAGACATTGTTTTGGCTCACACCTTTTATCCCAGAACCTGAAGGCTGAGGTAGGAAGATGGAAATCACAAGAGGGAAGCTGGTCTGCTCTGCATAGGGGAACCTTTCTCTAACAGCTAAAGGGAGGGAGGGAGGGAGAGAGAGAGGGAGGGAGAGAGGGAGGGAGGGAGGGAGGGAGGGAGGGAGGGAGGGAGGGAGGGGGAAGCCCACTGAATAACTCTTACAGGTGTTGCTGGCTTGTTGTATAAAATGAACTGAGACCCTCAAAGGGACAATCCTCAGCATCCCCAGGAGACTGGAGCTCTCAGCTGCAGTGGAGAGTGCTTGGGGTCCCAGCACTAGGGCAGATGAAGATGCAGGCACTGGCATATTCTAGCAGCTCCCCTGCTGCAGCGTCTAAACCTCCGTGGGCAGTGTGTCCTCTCCCCAGGCATACCAAACTTTCCTCTTTGGTCCCCAGCAGCTCCCATCAAAGGCCAGGAGCACTCCCAGGCCTTCACAAGTGTGTGTTGTGAGGCAGACTAGAAAAAGGATGATGGGAAGGAAAGGGAAAGACACCCCCACTTTGGAGTCTCCCTAAAGCTTCCCACCAGCTATAATTAAGAATTGCTGCATTAAAGGTGGCAGTGGTGACCCATGTCTTTAATCCCAACACTCAGGAGACAGAGGCAGGCAAATCTCAGTGAGTTCCAGAACAGCCAGGGCTACACAGAGAGAAACTGTCACAGGAAAAAAAGAAAAAAAGAAAGAATTGCAACATGATTGGCATTTACTGTGAAGCTTGTGGACATAGTGAGAATATTCCTCCCATATAAAAGATGCCCAGCATCCCCTGAGCTAGTTTTACCCTATCAACTGAAGTCCTGTCAGGTGCCACTTGGGACCCACTGTGACCTCCCTTATTTTTCTTAGCAGCTCTTTGAGGGTAACAGCATCAAACCCCAGCAAAAAGATGTGTGTAGATACTGCAGAGATGCAGAAAAGCAATTCTTCCTGGAGAAGCCCACGCCCATGCTCTCAGGGTGTCTTACTTTCCCTACCCCCACTCCCAATGGCTTTCTCTTAATCCTAGTGCTTCTGATCAGTGTTGAAAGTGTCTTTTATGGGGCTGGAGAAATGGATAAAAATGTGTACTACTTACTGTTCCTGCTGAGGGTCAGATTTTGGTTCCCAGCACTTATATCAAGCAGCCCACAGCCACTTCTAACTCCATTTCTAGGGGTCTGCTGCCCTCTTCTGGAATCCACACAAACTGTATGGACATACACAAACACACAGAAGCAAATGTGCAAAACTAAAAACAAATCTTTTAATTTGATGTGTATGGGTGTTCTGCCTGCATATATGTCTGTATCCGTGGATACAAAGTACCCAAGGGTGTTGCTGGAGGTTCTTGTCCCTCCAGGTTCTGCCACCCTTCTCAGCCCCAAATAAACACACAAAGATGATATATTATTAATTAAAGTGTTGGCCAATAGCGTGGGCTTCTAATTGGCTAGCTCTCTCTTAATTATTAGCCTATTTCTATTAGTCTAACTATTTCCACGTGGTCTTATCTTACTGGAGAAGGGTCCAAACCTGTTACTCCTTTGGTGGCCAACATGGCTTCTTTTCTGGCGGGCTCTCTTCTGCCTGTTTTCCCAGAATTCTACTCGTCTCCTAGTCTCGCCTATCTTCCTGCCTCTATTGACCAAACAGTGTTTTATTTATCAACCAATAAGAGAAACTTATATACAGAAGGACATCCCCCATCACGAGGAGGCCAGAAGCAGGTGTCAGATTCCCTGGGAATAGAGTTGCAGACAGTTGTGAGCTGCCATGTGAGTGCTGGGAATGGATCTCCAGTCTTTTGGAAGAGTGACCAGTGCCATCTCTCCAGCCCCAAATGAAACTTGCAAATATATATATTTGGTCTGGGAAGATGGCTCACTTTGCTGTGAAAACAAGAAGACCCAAGTTCAAATTTTGAATACACACATAAAAGCTGTACATGGCAGCATGCCCAGCATCAGGAGGCAGAGACAGGTGGATCCTGGTGACTGGCTGGCCAGTCAGCCAGCCAAGATGAAATGACCAGCTTCAGATCCACTGAGAGACCCTGCCTGAAAACAATAAGGTGGATGGGAAATTAAGAGACCACATCTTTCTCTGCCTTCTACATGTGAGCAGATGGATATGTAACCCCCCAACACACACACACACACACACACCACCCAAAAATAAATAAGGTAAAAATAAACTCCAACTCTGCTTCTCACTGGCTCAGTCCTGAAGATCTTTTTTGCATTGAAGCCAAGGACCTGTTTTGCCTTTGATGAAGGGAGCTCAGTCAGTGTATTAGTTACTCAGTGTGTTTGCTGCTTTTAGTGTGTTAGTTGCTCCATGTATTAGTTCCTTTTCTGTTGCTGTGATAAAACATCAAGACCAAAGCAACTTACAGAAGGAGGACTGTATTAGGGCGTAAGTTCCAGAGGACTCAGAGTCCATCACCATCGTGGTGGGAAGGCATGACAGCAGACAGGCATGGCAGCTGGAGCATGAAGCTGAGACCCACATCTAGAACCACAAACATGAAGCGGAGAAGGATGAGGGGGGAGAAGGGGACAGAGAGACAGAGAGTGGAAATGGGGCCAGTCTTTAAACTCTCAAAGCCCACCTCCCGTGACATAGTTCCTCCAACAAGGCCACGCCTCCTAAACCTCCTCCCCAAACAGCGCCACCAACTGGGGACCAATTTTTCAAATACACGAACCTGTGTTCTCATTCAAACTACCATAGGCTGCTACAAGTGACACTGCCGCCATAAACATCTGCCCTTACAGACACTGTGGGGACTCTGTAAACCTTTTCCAGGGTAGGACACAGCATAGATCTATCCTGGGCTTCCAGGAAGGAGAAAGCAGACAACAGGTGACCCGCAGGCCACCCCCACCTTGGATGTCTAATGGGAGTCTTCCTGTTTCCAAATTACCCTCCCTCACCACTTCCCGTTCTCCCTTTCTCTCTGTGGCTCACATGGTCCCTCTGTCCCATCCTCAGGCCTCCGACTCAGACTACGAGGAAGCCCTGCCCAAGCACTCCTTCGTCAACCACTACATGAGTGACCCCACCTACTACAACTCCTGGAAGCGGCGTCCCCCTGCCGCAGCACCGCACAGATACGAGGCTGTGGCAGGGACCGAATCTGGTCCTCACCTGCACACAGTCATCACCACACAGAGTGCGGGTGGAGTCTACACACCAGCTGGCCCCGGAGCCCGGGCCCCCCTCACCGGCTTCTCGTCCTTCGTGTGACATCACGCCTCCATCAGGGTAGACGGGTGCAGAACTTCTGGAGTCTATTTTTGTTAAGACAATCAACTCCGATAACTGAGCTGAATTCTTTTGTTTCACAACAAATAATAATAATTCTGATAAGCGATCTTACCTACTGGTGAAAACTAGGTTTCACTTAGGAAGGTTTTTTTAATGGCTTTTTGTAACATCGCTGCAGGAAGCGGGTTTCTTTGTTTTCTTTTCTTTTTAAGAGAAGGTATCTCCCTGGTGCAATAGCTCGGCACCGCCGGCGGGGGCGCTCTCGACACACCCCCCAACCCTGGGCTTCGCTGGTCTCCAAACCATCGGGGGAGGCGAGGGCTGGCAAGAGGGTGGAGGAGGACAGGTAAATTGCATCCGCGGCCCACTTCTCTCTCTACCTCCTTTGGGAGAACCAGCCAGCCTGGATCACTTTCTCCATCTTATGACAACTTGAGGCTCCTTGCTCTCGCCTGTGCTTCAGACAGTTGATCTTCCCCCCCGGGTTCTGTCCAGTTCTCACCAGAGTCCACGCGATGCCACTGCGCAAGTGGCACCTAGCCGTGGAAGGCTCACTCAGCTCTGCAGTCCCTCTTTAGGGTGCTGCAACCCTGGGGCTTTTCCATTTCCCTCACTCTTCCTCTGTTCCCTCAAGCTGACAGTTACAAGAACAGGAAGTCCCGCCCCCAACTGGCTCTGGAGGCCACCCAGGCCCATCCATGGCCACCCAGGTCCTTCTGGTGACCACACAACACAGCACACAGCCCTCCCCCGCTGAGCAAAGAGAGGAGCGGAGACGCGTGTTTTTGAAGTTGCTTGTGGCAGTAGCAGGTGTGCATTGTTGAACCAGAGTATTTTTTAAACCTTTTTATCTTTTTTTAAACTATGTCACATGAAATGAATGCGTCTTTGCTGTCTCCAGGTGCCTTTTAATTCATTGTTCAGCTTTGTACGTGGGAAAGACGAGAAGCGATCGTGTCTCCAAATAAAACAATCGGCTCTGAGAAACCAGCCCGGGCCGTGAGTCACCTAGTGCACCCCACACCGGCACACCGCGGGGGACAGCCCTCCCCCTTCACCTCCTAAAGTCCAGCTTCTGATCCCTGGTGCTGCCCCCTCCACCCTGCCATCCAAGGCCAGCTTTTTAGCCTTAACAGGTTTTCTGAAAATATTTTCCTTTAATTTTCACTGTTTCAATGTTTTTTGCTAAACGCAAAGAGTACCAGCTAAGTGGCACTCAGACCCCATGAGCGTCCTGCCACCCCTAGTCCAGGCTCGGTGTCTGGATGTGACCAGCTGACACCAGCCAGGGTGTGCCCCAGAGCTGGGGTGGCTCCACATCCTGGAGAGGGTGAGAATGGTCTGTCATCCCAGGGGTCTTGGGGCTCTGAGGAGGGGACAAGCTATTTAATGTCACCAGTAGGGGACTTTACAGATCCTTTGCCTTCCCTGAGAGGCAGGGGACATGGATCTTGTCTTGACCATGCCTTGGAAGTTGCTGGTGTGGCCCCGGGACACAGGAAGTTCTGCTTGGGGTTAAAAAAAAAAATAAAGGCCTTTCAGTTTTTCCAAAACCCATAATAAAAATTCTAGGCCTCCTCTTTCTTCCTCTCTTCCTCCTCCCCCACCCTCCCCTCCTCCTTCCCCTCCCCCTCCTCTTTCCTTCTTTCTCCTTTCTTTCCTTACCCTTCCCTCCTCCTCCTCTCTTTCCTCTCTTTTTATCCCTTCCTCTTTTACTCCCTATCTCCCTCCCCCTCCCTCCCTCCTCCCTCCCCTCCTCTTCTCTCCTTCCCTCCCGCCTCCTGTTGTCCCTTCTTCTGCCTTTTCTGTCCCTCCTCCCTCCTTCTTCCCTTCCTTTTATGGGGAAATATTCTAAACCAAAAATCCTAGATGCTCTGCCCAAAGCCACTTCTGTGTAGGGACTGCCACCCTGGCAGTCCACAGGAGGGGCCCCAAAGGAGTGAAGTGCACAGAAGACCACATGTCACCAACTGAGCTTCTTGGAAGGTAGCACCCAGCAGAGGACGGGGACCAGGCTGGTTCCACATTGCGCCTTGCTGTCTTAAACCATAAGGACTTGATTGTTTTAACCAATGGGGAGCCCTTGGGATGGTCTGGTCTGAGCTGAGACTCTACAACCTCGACCCTCCCCCAAGTGACCCTTTCAATAGGATTATATATTGGATATCCCGCACATCAGATATTTATATTACAATTCATAACAGTAGCAAAACTGCAGTTGTGAAACAGCAGTGAAAATAATTGTATGGTTGGGATCACCACAGCATGAGGAACTGTATTAAAGGATCACAACATTAGGAAAATTGATAACCACTGACAGAAGGACTCTGTCAGCTGCCCTGCACCAAATGCAGAGGTTGAGGGGTTTTAGTTAGATTCCAGCCTCCCAGGGACAACGGGCATTGGCAAATGTCCTTCCTAACCTCTCTCTGTAGGAATGGGATGGACACATCGCAATGGCAAAATGGACATTGGATCCAAGTCTGGGCTCTGAGAAAGGAGTCAAACAGGCAGGGTACAGGTGTCTTCTGGCTTCTCCTGTCATGTGGAAAAAAGTCACCTCCATGGGTGGCTAATGATGAGTGACAGCCAAGTCTACCCACTGTGGCCTCAATGGCTCTGTGGAGACTGCTCTGCTCTGTGCAGCCTCCCCCCCCCCAGTGTGTCTGCTGAGCCTTGCGGGTGGCTTTACAGGGCACAGGCGTCCCGAGAGGATGTTAGCATCTGGGTGACATCTCCCAGCCTCCCACTGACCTTCCTCAATATCTCACCAATTCAAGCAGGAAAATATGTGGTGGTGTAGGGAATGTCTCCCTTCCCTGGAGCCCTGGGGAGAGGCAGAACAGCAGCCTGTGAGGATGATGTGTGTTCTGGAAAGTTCTTTGGATGTGTGATGTTTGAACTTGGTCTTGATCAGTCAGAGCATGGTGTGTTTGCATAGAGGTTCTTAGCATGGGTTTTCATTATTCCAAGATTCCTGACTCACAGCATGGCTGCTCACCTGCTGAGCCCCCAATCCACAGAATAACAGCAAGGGACCAGTCTGAGAGGCCAGGACACTGCGGGGTTCCCAGCGGGGAAGTCCAACCTCAAGGCTGTTTTAGGAGTATGGTGAAGCTTTCCCTATGAAACCTTCTGAAATGGCACAGAAAACCAGATCCCATTAAAGATTGATTAAAACAAAAAACAACCCCCCCCCAACTTGTAGGAAGGCAGAGCGGTGCTATGGGTACAATTTTTAATAATAAAAAAATATTTTGTTCCTTAAGTGCTTGTGACTCTTTAAATTTTTAATTTCTATTTATGGGCACGTGTTCCCGTGTATTCAAGTGGAAGTGTAAAGGTGCATGCGTGCGTGTGCGTGCGTGTCCCAAGGACAACCTCAAATGTTCTTCAGGTGCTGCCCATCTTGTTTTTGTGAGGGGTCTCTCACTGGCCTGGAACTCCCTGAATGGATAGGCCAGCTGGCCAGTGGGCCTGACTCTGCCTTCCCAGTCCTGGGGTCACAAGTACACACCAACATGCCCTGTTTCTTTACACAGGGTCTTGGAATCGAACCCAGGTCCTGTATTTGCAAGACAAGCATTTAATTGATGAATCCATTGTCTCAGGGAATGGGGGATGGTACACAGTTTGCCACAGCTTGCCTGTGGAGGTCAGAGGAGGTCCTTCCCTTTCCACCTTCTTGGAGACAGAGTTCCTTTGTCATGGTGTACACTCAGCGAGCTGGCCCACTCTCCTGCCTCAGTCTAACATTTTGTAGGAGCACTGGTGTTGTTAAAATGTTTAGGTTTGTCCAGTAAGGAGACACAGACTGCGACTCAACGATCCCACATGGAGTTTATTGGTGGACAGGGAGGGAAAAGGAGGGTGAGAGGTAACGAACCGGTGCAGAGTGAGAGAGAGAGAGAGAGAGAGAGAGAGAGAGAGAGAGAGAGAGAGAGAGAGAGAGAGAGAGAGAGAGTAAGATGAGAGTAAGTGTAAGAGGGAGAGTAAGAGAAAGAGCAAGAGAGCATAAACGGCAGGGGTCAGTCCTGTAAAGGGGTCCTTTGCACCTGCGTGGTTCTCACAGAACTCTGGGCTGGCCAGAGTGTTGCCTGAGTGCATCCTGCCAGGTAACAGGGCAAGCCAGCCAGCGTAATGCCTGAACCTTTCAACTGGGATTACAGATACTAGCACTGCAGTGCCCAGCTTTTTGACGGGTTCTGGAGGTCTGAACTAGGAGGTCAGGCTTGGTATGACAAACATGTCACTCACTGAGCCTCTTTTTACTGAGTTCATGAAAATGACCCTGGAATTCAGGAACAGTCTTGCATTCTAAGATTGTGAATGCTAACCTTGGAAATTAATGTGCATGTGGTCTTAACCAACACATCCTCTGTCTCTCTGTCTCTGTCTCTTTATCTCCATCTCTCTCTCTTTCCCTCTTTGTTTCTCCTGTTGAGGTGCAGTATGTCCTATGCTTATGAAAGAAACAGCTCAAGGACTAAAAGCTTCATCTAGAATCAAATGAGTGATCATGACCTGAGAACATAGGTTTAGGCCTCCCCAGGTGCATGTTCCAGCTAGGGAGCAAGTTCGTGAGCTTTTGACAGTATCTGAATGAAGGAAGTCATAAAGTAAAATACTTTTCAAATACATTAGTGGACCCATGGGTAGGTGGGTTACAGCAAAGCAGGGAAACTGCTACAGGCTGTAGCTGCTATCTGACAGCATTCTTAACCCTTCGGTTGGTGGACACTGAGGACCTGTTTGCATAGGCCAAAGGATGTACCCAGGGCAACAGATGGCTATCAAGGATGCCCCAAGATAGTTTGGCTCTAGACTTGCAACAGTCTAACTTCTTCGCATTCTGGTCAATCCACCTTTGCAGACACAGCTTGCTTCTGGGAACTGCCATATGTGACTCCCTCCCAGTCAGAAGAGAAGGGGGAGCAATCCCATAGGGAGCTCCCTGCCCAAGGTGTGGGTAGCAGCTGGAGCTTTCACCTTGAGCCACTCTGAATGGACCAGCAGTCATTTCCAGATGCACAACCCCAACCCCACCCACCATCTGTACCTCCTGAAAGACAACAAAGGTGCCTTGAAGTGGAAGACCTGATCATGAGCAATCTTGGCTGTGCTTGGGATGAACTGGGTGACCTGAATCACTCAAGCAAGCCCACATGCTGAGGCATCTAATCACTACTGGTCCAAGGTAG